TCTCCTGAATAGTTTTATACAATTTTTATAGGCGTGGCATTCTTCTTACACCCTACTTTTCAAATACCTAACAAATCGAATTAACAGATCATCCGCCGTAGGGCACTAATTTGATACGTAACGATATCTTCTTATTTCCGAACGTCGAGAATGAATTATATGGACAATGTTTTTGGTTAGTAGAAAAGACTGTTGACGTCTTCAAACGCCATGTTTTTGACGTGACCCAGGCGGAGTGCAAGAAAACGCTATGGGAAATATATATGCAAAAATGTGTAGATCACACAGGAAAACATTTTGAAAAACAATAAAGCAATTTTTATTAATGCTACTGTCTTTTTTTATCAGTAAGCTAAAAATAAAAACAGGACTTTACGTGGTGGCTGACAGCTCTGTGAATTATTAAGGCCCAAGTGATATTCGATCGATATGCCTTGCTTCGCTTCCTTCACTCCTTCCAATTTTTAAACCCTACTTCGCTTTTTGCATCAGAGAAACTTCTGTGAATGTATTGTATACTCAGAAAGATTCAAGGACTTCTGGATCGATTTAAGCTTGGCTGTCCAACTTTCTCGCTGCTTGCTGCCCATGTATTCTTATTAAGTAATTAAGTACAGTGAAAAATTTTTTCCCCTGGACAAGCACACTTGAAAGAGTATTGTGCAATTTGACCGGAGAAGGTATAATAATTAGCAATTGGCCACACACCTTATCTCTTTCTTTGGTTTTCTTCTTATACCTGCAGCCGGTGTCCACTAAACAATTGTTGATAATAATAGAAAATAAAAAAAATGACAGAAATCCTATTTCGACATAGTATATTAATGAATAATTCGCATAGTATTCAGTCAATTCTGCAAACTACCTTCCGTAGATTTTACGTAGAAAAGAGTGCTTTTTAACATTGCACGGTGAAATCTGTACATAACAGTAGTACGACGTAAAAATGAGCGGTGTCATATTCAGTCCACATAAATTGTTTTTTGGGCTCCACCCTTATGGATCTTATGGCCTTTATATAGGATAACAAATTACTTTTCTGCATTTTATATCGAAAGTAGGCGAGAATTGAGATTTTTAACAATAAAGTTAGGTTTTGCTAAATTTGAAGCATGTCAGGTCGATTTTTTTTCCACCACTTCTTCTCGGTTAACAGATACGCTGACGCCATTTCTGTTAATTCGTCTCATTAACAGATATGCTCAAGCCATTTCTGTTACTTCGCCCCATTTAACAGATACGCTCACGCCATTTCTGTTACTTGGTCCCTTTTAACAGTTATCAATTATTGATTGAACACTTAAGGAGAGGAAGTTACAAATTTAAACCAGCTGTTTTTTGTCACCTGCGGAAAACAAGTAACTTAAAAAAACGCCTTCATACTCAGAAATTGTAATTAGTTAGGCAGACAAAACAAGAAGTTGCTTAAAAAAACCATGTCCAATCCAAGAGATTATTATTTATGATTGGAATTTGTTGTATAAAACGACAGATATGAATATTAATAAAAAAGATTACGTGCTTATTGCTTTATATATCCACAAATGCCATCCGCAATACTTGTTACATCCACAAATGCCATCCACAATATCTATTATATCCACAAATTCCATCCACAATACGTGTTATATCCACACGTAATTCTAACGTCAAGCGTGACATCCAATGTTTAATAACTACAAATTTTTAAAATTAAATTAAAATTTAAAAGTAAATTAAAAATTTTTGACAGTTGTCAACCAGAAAATGGCGTCGATAACGCGGTTTGATAGTGACTACATCGATAGCTGGCATCAACTTTGAAGAGCTATTGCGTCCTTTACTGAGTCTTTGAAGCATTTCAAAGGCATATTCTTAACATATCCTATGATTGCGAAATCATGATTATGAGCTGCTAAGATTTCTAAAGACTGATATTCATATATAAAAACAGATCGCTTATTATTATTTATTTATGGGTTTGTAAAATTCGATTGGCATTAAAGATTGGATCAATTGGATTCCAGATATGTTAATATGCCGTAGCTGCTTTATTAGTTATATGCTGTCATTGGAAAAGACTCGTTATTTATGTTTTTGTAGATATGTATTATTATCGTCGTTATTATTATTATTATTATTTTTATTATTATCAATATTATTGTTGTTGCTAAATAGGTTTACGTTGAGAATTTTGTTTAATTTGCATTTAGAAAATTGTACATTTTCTCAATATAAAATAAAAATAAATTATTGAAAATTTATTGATGAGAAAACTTAAAACAAAAGAAAAGAAAAAAAAAAATAATAAAAATAAATAAAAAAAACGAAAAGAAATGCTGTTTCAAAAATGCTTTTTCAATAAATATTCCAGATTATGAGGATACACAGTCATTTAGTAGCGAATGGAGTGAAAAGGTAAAGGTTCTTCCTTATAGTTTTATATGCATTTAGAAACAAATTATGAAAAAAACTAAAAGCATTTGTTTCAACCAAACGAGAGCTGCGATGAACTAAAGAGAAAATTTTATCTTTCAATTTTCATTTTAGGCCAACATGACCAGTAGTAATGAGAGGCAGTGGCAGGAGCAATTCGCGCAATGGTCTTTGAATAATTAAAGTGAAGCGGGAAAAATCGATGTGTAAACGATTAAATAATAATTGAGATGTGAAGAAAATGGAAAATTTTTGTATTTAGTCGAATTTAGAAATAATGTATTTTTGCTTATCTCTACTTATGTGCGCATATGTAAAGCATATGTAAATTTTGATGATAAAATCGATTAACGTTAAGTTAAAGTGATGAGTCCTTATTTATTTATTACCTTATTTTGTTTCTTGTTCTCTTCTTTTTTTTTTTGTGCTTATCTAAATATGATAAAACCTCCTTTTGTTTAAATAATATTTTCGCGGTGTTGAATAATTATCTCAAGTTTTTCCTATATATTTTTATAATATATATATATATATATATATATATATGAGTTTGTTTAATCAACTTTGTGCTATTTTGTTTTTAAGTCTTTATTACGAGGAAGAAGACGTGGAGGGGGCAGAAACGAATACAAGTAATATTTAATGTACGATTCTAAAACGATAAAAAATGAAAAAAATGAATCAAAATTGATTAACATAAATAATATTTCTATACATTTATATATAGATTTATAAAAAAAATAAATAAAAAAAAACACTTACTAGGAAAGAAGACTAATTAAATGAATTAATTGAATTTTAGAAATTGTTAAATGAAACCTTTTTCTTCTCCTCTTTTTTTCAAGTCTCACAAATATTTGTATTACTACTACAATAACACTTATGCTAAATCTTGTCATCTTGCAATTATTTATTGAGTAAACAAGAACGAAACACACAACAACAACAACAACAACAAACAAAATGTTACTTAGATATAATATAATAGGGGAATACATTAAATATATATTTATATATATATATATACATATATACATAACGATAACACCTTTAAGCCTACATAATACACAAAATTAAGGAAAAGCAAAATAAAAAAAAAAAAAACACATCAAATAATTTTATCTAAAAACAAAAAAATAATTGTTAACAATTAAGCCTTTAAGGTAAATCAATTTCAATTCATTATAAAAGAATCAATCATTCTGTATTATCTCTATCAAAAATTAATGTACCCATCCTTGAGGAATATGCTAATTTTGTCATTGCATTTACAGTACCTATGACGCTATTGCAATGGCCTTGAATTGCTTGCACACGTTCTCGAAGTCAAAGGCAAAGTAATGGCAAAAAATCATGCTTTCAAGCACTTTATCCCTTTCGCAATGAGATATTTTTAAAAACAAATCCTTTCAAGAGAATGCTTTCCTACGCGAATTATTTATACACAGTTTCTTATCAATGTTTGGCGTAAGTCACAAATTAAAGTTTTTAGACTGCCGTAGGCATGATTCTTGGGTGAGTACGGCTCCGAAGCATGTTCTCTGCTAGGTGCCGCAATCATAAAGGCGCATCTAGTATATACCCCCTCTTCAGTCATTAGCTCACATATGTAGGATGCCTCGGCCAAACAATTGCACCACTGGACATCAATGAATCCTTAATAAATATTCCTCTTCAATGTATACGTGTGAAAAAGGTCTCCCAATAAAGTAATTTCCTTGTGATTGCTATAAACTTTCCTTTTACTAAGAGAATCTCTAGCAACCAACGCAGAGAGAAGCACCTAAACCGATCGACATCCTGAAATCTACTAAATGCCACATATAATTTTGTTTCCTAATGTAGAGCCGATACAGCCAATGTTGTTAGTGCTCAATTTTTGTTTTTTTTTAGTCGCAGAACTTATTTCATTAATCGAACAAGTTACAATTATAACAACATTTTAAATGGTTTTGAAAAACATGACAAGACCTTGGGAGATCCAATGGGTTTCCGAAGTCAATTGGACTAAAACTTCTCCCACTGCTCAAACTACTACTTAAGCTTTAAATGCTTTTTTATTTTTAAAAACTAATTTTTCCGTAGTCTTCGTGCGCGATTTCTCAAAAACAAATGCAGTGATCCCAATGAAATTCGGTACACTTCTTCTTAATGAAATTGGCTAGTGTTCGAGCGAATCATAATTTATTTTACCGGAGAATGCATAGTGCAAATTTAACCGAAAATCTTATCTTTTCGTTGATAATCCGCCAAAAAATCAAATTTCATTTCTTTTTTAAATCTTTTCTTCAGCCCCGAGCTCGACTGCTTGCTAAAGGAGGTTTTTTTTTGGTTTGCAGAGCAAGCTGTCACCGGTTGTCGAGTTTACCGCGAGAACCACATCCAAACTGTTGAATTATCAAAAGTTTCAAGTGAAAATTTTGCAACATATGATGCTCTTTTCAACGATTAAACGTTTGCGAGCAATAACTTTAATAACATACGATTAAAAACAAGTAAAAGCACTACAAAGAGCACGAACCACCATTAAATCCCCTACACTCGTTTATGCATTTGTCGGCTTTTGACAATAAGGTGTTGCACGGGAAGTGGTCGAAAAAGTGGTCCGATCCGAACCATTTCCAATAGCGTTCGTTCTTGGGCCAAAACACATCAGTATACCAAATTTCATCAAAATATTTAAAAAATTGCGACCTGTGATTTGGCTGAACAGCAAAAAAACAAGACAGACGGACATATAGATAAGTTGTGATCTATACAGAAAATGATTCTGAATCGATCGATTTCTTATTAAATGGCAGATCTATCTCAAGTTCTTCCGGGTGTTGCATACATCCTTCTACCACAAGCGGTGTACGATATAATGAGAGAAAGTGTGCTTTTTTTCCTTTAAAAGCCAAGTAATCCGTTAAGTAATGACACACTCATGGAAATGTTGTATAACGTTTGCATATGCATGATTAGCGTGAATCGCAACCTATGATAGAAGACCATGTTCGCTATTGTTTATTCGCGTCAAGTTTGGGTCGAGGATCGATAATGAAAGTGGTCTTAAAGTCTCCCAAGTGAAGAAACTGCAGAATGTTTTGATATATTCCAAGAAAGTCATCAACAGCTTCGAAGATGAATTTCTTTTGCGTCTGTTATGTGAACATACATTTCCCGTCTCCTGGTTTTACCACTAAAGGGCAATTTACGTCTAGCTTGCGGTATTTCAGCTTATTTTCAAAATAAGTAATAGCAGATAGGTTACGTGTTGTATATAGTATACATACATACCAAAGATCTGAACTGGGTTGGAGATTTCCTTTGCTGTCGCAAGTGCTGTGTTTACATTTACCTAAGTCCTCTCTAAGCGATCTTAAGAAAAAAGTGTATTCTTCATAAACAAGAGATGGGTATTTATCGGCCATTTTTTTCTAATTCGGAAGCTCTTGCGTTCAATTATTTTATAATGAAAGAGATTGAAACGTTTAAGGGGACAAGTTAAGAATATTTACAATTTCTTCCACGCGAAATCCAAAAGCTATCCACTAAATATTATAAATAATATTAATGTTTATTAATATATGTGAAATTATTGTGGTCGTCTTGTAAATGTAAAAATTTTTAGTTTATAAACATATTTTCAACTTGTTTTGTTTTTAACAGTTTATTTATTGCATATTGAAAAGAAAAGAAAAAACAAAATGCTTTTAATCATTTTATTCAATCAATCAATCAATCAATCAATCTATCCATCAATCAATTAATACGATCAATATCAATCACAATTGTTAGTGATTTTTTTACTTCATATCATCATCGCCATCATAGTATGGCTAAATAATTTAAATGAAAAGGAAAAGATTGCAAAATGAAAACAAAACAAAACAAAAGAAAACAAAAAATGTTTAAACTTGAAATGTAGCCTGTACTTAATCTCATTTAAATATATTATATATATATATATATATATTTATACGCATAAATGTATAAGAATATTATATATATATATACATACGTATATTCCACAAAAAAAAAACAAAACCAATTATTATTAATAAAAAATGAAACAATTAAAAAAACACACACAAGCAAAAATAATAAACAAAAAAAAAAAAAAAGAAAAGATAATAATAATAAAATCAAAACACTTATTTAATAAACACGCTGCTCCTGTGTTTTCTTTCTTCCACTCCTCGTCCAGAAAAAGTGTGCTATGTTTATCGTTCGCTTTTTTTAGGTACAAGCGTGCAATAGAGTGCGTATTTATCAATTTAACGGCATATGTCCGTCCTCCTATCCTTCAATTTTTAAAGCTATCGAAATAAGCCTATACGACGGAAGGGAATATCGAAAGACCCGTTGTGAACGTGGTGCTCGTACAATACCTATAAACTGCCCTTGATCTTCACATTGTAATTGACTTTGAAAACCGAGTAAGAACAGTCTGTCACCAAAAATGTTTTTCATAGAAATTTCTGTACCACAAACTCGCATTTTTTCATTAGATCTTCCTTTCCATAAAAAATTTGATGACTTTTGAAGCGATAAGTGGGGAATTTTCACAAATTGCTAAATAAAAAAATAAAAACAAACATCATGACATAACCTGAAAAGAACAAAACAAACATTGCAGAGTTCCTAGAAAGTCATCAAAGAAGCGTCGGTTAAATGTACGTAAAAGAATAGTTTTCAGAAATCGATTGATATTTTCCGCCGATTTTTGAAGCATTTGGAATCATCTCGGTAAACAGAAACGAACTTAAGTTTTCCAATAATTTGCAAACGATTTTTTAAGTTAATTCATAACAAATACAAAATATACCTTTTTGTTTGAAAAATAATTATAATTATATTCAGATTTATAGCGCATATGTATGCATTCAATAGTCGACTTTAGTCGAACAAAATTTTTTTGCTCTGATGTTTTTCTTTTGTCTGTCGACAGATAACATGCGTATGAGTCATAGTACGAGTAATGTTCTCACTGTTCGTAGACCTTAAATCCAAACCAACCGCTGTTTTTTTCTTTTATAATATAACATGATTCACTAATTAAATTACATATAAATTTTAAAATTATTTACGATAATTTAAGAAAGATATATAAAGAATTTTAAAAACATTAAATATGTGTATTCTCCAGTGAAAAGCATTTTAAAAGACACTTCAGTTAACGCTCTTTGCAAATGATGCCACAATGCGCCTCTTGTATACTTTCGTTGTTTATTTTATACCATATCCACCTTGTGGTGCAGGGTATATTCAGTCCGTACTCGTGCTCGTAACAGCCAAAGTGACTTAAGATAGGTCCAGCTTTGATCAAAGCGGTCGATTTAGAATCGGCCTGTCTGTCCATCTGTCCACCTGATGCTTGCCCAAATAATTCGAGATATTTTGATACAGTGACGTGTTTCGGCCGAAGAATGAACGCTATTGATTATTCGACTGGTTCGAGTCGGACCAGTTTTTCGACCCATTTCTACATAACGCCTTATTTGGATAGGCCGTTATAAGAAAAAATACTGTGATTTTTAGAATTGCGGGACATTCGCCATTCTTGGCGAACTTGGATGATGCAATTTTTCGAATTCTTTGCCACATAAACATACCTACCAAAACAACAGCATCTCAATATGGTAAAAAGGCCTAATTTTCAATACTTCTTGATTAAAATTCGTTCATAATAATAATTTGATATAAAAATCCAACTTGCTGACTGCAGGCCGTAGATCTATTGTTCGCATACCATTGCATATAAAGGTTCCAATGAAAAAACGAGGCCTTATATGCCGAAAAGATCCAATTTGTAATGTTGTATGATGAACATTTGTTCTTTCTAAATCAACCATAGGTAATTTAAACATAGATCTATTTTGTAGACAACACCATAGATAGGGGCTCTTATTAAAGCAAACCCTTCTATGGTGCTGAAGCTTAATATGTATGGCTTAATGTTATGACGGAAACAACTGGAAAATATTTAAAGCTTTGACAAGCGAACTAAGACTTCTAAATTTAGACCACATTGAACTTTGACTACGTTCCAATATGAGGATTTTCTAAAAGTAAAGTGGTGTAGAGTGGTGTATGGTATTTAAAGCTCGATCGTGCTTAACTATGGCATTCTTGTTTGTCTTGTTTTAAATGGTCGGGCGATTGATTTTAAATTTCGGCTATAATTTCGTAATAGTATATAGTACCGAAGAGCAGCTAATTTTTTTGCAGGTTTTTTCAAAATCAAACTTTCATTTAAAACTCACGATAAGGTGTTTGCAAATTGAGATTTTTAAGGTGTCTATGGATTTCACGAGATATTAAAGAGTAGTTCGAGGATTTTTGTAGAAGAAGAGAAAGCAAGAAATTATATTTCTTTTATTCTCTACATCCCAAAAAGGGTATATTAAGTTAGCGCAGGTCTATACAACATCCAAAAGGACTTGCGATGGATTCAATTCATACTGTACTGATTGACTCAGAAAATGATACAGATCTTTTCAGAAGGACTTTGTGAGTCTATTTAAGCTTGTCTCTTCGTCGACCCAGCTTGTATATGCTTAACTTGCAGGTCGCAATTTTTGAGTTATTTTTATGAAATTTTTGTATCTCGACGTGTTTTGGCCCGAGAACGAATGATATTGAAATACGTTCAGACCAGACTATCCTTTTCGACCGATTCTCTAAAACCTTTTTATTTGTTTTACCAATGCTTGCCTTATCGCCTAATTCACGTCCTATTTCGGATTTAATACCAGTCATGTAAATTGCAAAATAAAAGAAAGCATTACGCCTTTGTCTTCTATGTAAACATAGAACGCACTTCTCAAGCATACAATACGTTACTAGGAGTTTTAATTAAGGCGAACAATGATGAGTTTATCTTTATTGAGTGTATTTGCGAAACATGTTTACAACAACATCTTGTTTCAAATGAATCATCCAGGTTAAACATTAATTACATAACGTCAACATTTCAACATGTTGAAATACCGCTATGAGAACCACTCTACGTTTCCAGTTTTCAATGGGCTTTTTTTGAAATTTTTTACGATTTTTTCCGAAAACTATAAATTGTAAAATTTTCCATTTGCCGTTCATACACAGCTTTGATTTTTCCCACGGTTAACAGCGGGTTAAGTTTCCGTCAAAAAGTCAAAATATTTATGATATGTAGAAGCGACAGTCTGTATGAATGTTTGCAAGTTTAAGCGTTCATTAGAAAGGAAACGACAGAAAGACTTAACCATATTGCCTCAAAAATCGTAGGTCAATGAAGCCCGGCTTTTATATGGTCATGTCGCCTCAGATGATGAAGTCATAAAATTATTCCTTCCAGCGATGTAACTACAATAAACCATTAATAGTTTTAAAAACTGGCTGCACAACTAGCTGTGGAATATATATTTAACGGGAGCTCAATCTAGCCTTTTTAAAGCTTACATTTTATAAGCGAAATACCGGCGCAAATTTTTTAGAACTCTAATGTAGTGTGTAATGTGATAAAAGCTAGATCACATGTTTACCCTACACCCAGAATTGTCTGTGCGAATGCTAAATCAATAATTCTCCAACACATGTCTTCCCATTTTTTTTGCGGTATTATATGCAATTTTTTTGAAATGTTTGAATTCTCATTTCTTTAGTATAATTGAAACGAAATTTTTCATTTTTATTAAAACACATTTATTCTATGTAAATTTATGTATTCGAGATAATCTTCACAATGATATTCGATTTCGTTTAATTGGTATTCATTTTTTGTGCAAATTTCTGCAACTACAACAAGTGCCACTTTTTTTAATAAACAATAAAGCTTTGCATAAACATTTATACGTATGCGTGAGTACAAAAACGAGAAAAGCTTAATTCAAAACATTTTTACATTGCTACGTAAACTTCGAAATCTTTATAAGCCACCTCTTCGCCACCGTAGGGAATGTAGCAGCATCCGTGAGACGGTTGAATTTTTCCAACGGTAACGGTACCGTCATGAGTGGCGCGGCCTATGAACAAAGGTTCACCTTCAGCTGTCTCACCGCCTGGAACCGCATTTGGGGGAATGTTACCATCTTGAACCGGTATCCATTGACCGCCACCAGCACATAAGACTTCGTATTCGTTGTGGCCATGTTCGCCGCCACCAAAGGCTACATAACAAACACCATGTGATGGATGTAATTTGCCGGGAATTAAATCGCCTTCGTGTTTCGCGCGAGCAATGTACAGTTGCTCACTGCCGTCGAAGCCACCCTCCATAGAGCTAGGCGGAATTTCACCATTAGCAGCAGGTACCCAACAGCCGGGACCTCCACCACTGGTCGGTGGTGCAAAGCCCATGGCCGGTTCCGACGGTGCCGATGGTGCGGTTGATTCTATAAAATATGGTTTAATTTGAATAAATTTTAAATCGTGTCTATCAAGCTGATTGCTATCAATTTTACCCTCAAGCAACCAATTTCCATTAGCGCCCCAACCGGTGCATACACCCACAAAATGAATCGGGAACAAATCGGGCGCGTCATAAGATAAAAAGGCAGCTGCTTCACCTTCACGGCCTACAGTTATTACATTGTCATACCAGCGTATCCAGAAACCGCGAAATTCTCCACCATCTAAAATGCCCGGAGTATCGGCCTCAGCCACATCGGGTTTTTGACGATTTTTACGTATTACGGATTTGCTATTAGACCATCCTCCAATGAATACCTCATACATGGGATCTTCTTCGACAGGATTTGATGTCAATGCTAAATGAGCATCATTAGGAGAACGCACCTTAAAAGTGAATACATTGCCCGAAACGGGATGGAATTGATATTCCAATTTATCGGGTGTGTTAACTTCTAAAACAATGCAAACAAAATAGAAAAATTACAGTTATGACAAATGATTAAAGAAACATTTTCATTGCGCTCAATTTTCCTAATAAACTAAAGAATTTAAATGCACGTATATAAGATGTGGCGCGCCAAACAAATATCTTTTAAGTGTATGTGCTACACTTTAATTAACATGATCTTGATAGCAAGAATTCATTTTAATATGTGATGATACACTTTATATAGAATTATACGGCAAGGTTTTATTACCGCCATAAAGAAGATCATCAACCATATACAGACAATTCAAATCTATAATGATGTTTACAAAGTGACTGATCGGATGCCAACGAAATCGAACTGCTTCTTCGATCGCTTCATAGTAAACCTGTCTCGGCCTAACATTTGAGAGTTAGTAAATTAATTAATCTCCTCTCAAATTATTGGTTTTTAAATCATGCTTCCCTTAACACCACCCCATCCTTAAGAAGAACGTACAATTATTAGGGATATAATGAATAATAAGTAAATGTGGAAAGTTTTCATCCCGGCCGGCCAAGAAGAGCGTATAACTACCTATATTTTTAAAAACCATTTTCGAGTGGTGTATAAATTTCACAATTCTTATGTTCTCTTCTCTATGCGAATCTGACTAATAGAGGATAGAAAATATAAGAATATATAACCGCTACATAACAATCGCACGGCGTTCGAATTTATGCCTACGGGGGTTATGTGCGAAGAAAATTTCTGAAAATTTCTGAAAATTTCTACAAATGCAACGTATTTCCGACTTTTTTACCACGGTAAACCGCATAAAAAAATCGTCTAATGAAACTCATGCGAGCTCTGAATCTAGATCTGTGGATATGTTCAACAAAGTTGAACAATTATCTAAGAATCCGTTCAAAAAAAAGTAATAATGAAATCAATATTGCATATTTAGAAAAGGAAAAGAATTTCTTTTTATTGCAGTGAAAATTCCATCCATAAATATATAAAACATAGATATTGAAATTAGGAATAACAATCACTTTCCCAACTAATCAGTGCTACTTGATAACAAGCGTACAAGTTTATTACGAATTGGATCAAAACTGCTATCACCAGTGAATATGTCAGATTTGTCTAGCACAACTGTCGGATTTAGTTTACATGAAGAATTTCTTTAGTTAATAAAGCCCTCTGTTACGTTTTTTTGTTGATACAAAGAAGAATTTTTTTTTTAGATCAGTGCAAAAAAAGGGTATTTGATGCCAATTGTGCAGTGTATTATTTCAAAATCGTTTAAAAGAAGAGTTTCGTGCATTTTTTAACGGATATACCCATAATAGATACATGTGACGGTTCGGGAAGCGTGCCACAGATCGCCCACCCAGCGTTGTGATTTTAAATCAAAGCGTGACCTTTTTAGATTTATTTTGCAATTACGGTCAATGAGTTACTTTCTTACATTCTCCGCGCCCTACCAAGTAAAAGCAACTTTCAAATGAATTGCGATGACCTGCTTACTCTTTCAATAGTAAAACAATTTTAATATGTATGCTAATTTGCACTAGAGCATTAAAGATTGATTAACACAATAAAAAAAAAAAGAATACAACACACAACAAATACCTGAATGACATCATTTTCAAGCCATAAAATTTAAGCTTTCTCACTTTATTTCTATTCAAAGTGTTTTAAATGTTAAAAAAAAAATGGAAAACTTAAAACGTCTCAAGAAAAATTTCAATTTTTACTAACTTTTTAAACATTGTTGTGCGTGGAACTGTAGGAATTTTATTGCAATTGATACGACGACAATGGTGTTGATGATGAGATTCTGTTTCTAATAAATGCAAATATTTATAGAGATTTATTATAACGTTTTCCAATGCATGCATGCGTGCAAAGAATTCAATGCTATGTGCGTTAGTTTTTAGCTAATGTAAATAAGTTGTAGAATTTTATTCAGTGCCACCCGTCAGTAGAGTCAGTAGTTGTGAAATAATATTACCTATATTTTATTTAATTCTATAGAGTAAGTAAATATTGTGCTGATATAGACGTCTATAGATATTTATAGGAGTAGCAGCTGCAAGCAACTTTTCGATTGCCTCTTCCCAAAATTAGAAAATTTTATCTTTATTATAAATTTTTTCTTACTGTCGTTTTTTGTTGTTTTTTATGTCAAACACAATAAGCGAACCGATTATTGATCTATTTTGTTTGAAATTCTTGTATTTCTTTACTTTCTTTTTTAATAAAAGACAGACACTTTGTAAAAATTTGGCAATTTGACAAAAGCGATAAATTTGCTTTCCATTATCATTCGACTTTCTTTTTATTATTTCTCTTCATTGCCGGATACTTGCTCTCGTCAAATCAAATATTTCTTTTATTTTTGTTTTTCGCTTAAACTTACCGACTGGCATTTTTAAATATATATTCTTTTTATAAAATTTGAACAACTTTTGAAATTAACTTTTAACTTTGCCTGCTGAAATTGAATTGCTTGATTGCTTGCCTTAACGTTTAGAATCTTGTTTCAACTTTGGCTGCCTTTTTATTAAATATAATTCACTCTGCGCGAATTGATTTGAGTAAAAGAGACAACTGTACGATAACATTGTCTACAACAACGATCCTTACATGTACGTTTTGCTTTTGTTTTTCATTTATACGGCTGATGTCACACTCTTGTATGCTCTTTTTCTCTTTTATACTTTTTTGCTTTCTCCCACACGCCTTTGTTGTTTATTATTAATTTGCAAAAAGCTTTATATATTTATATGTTTTTCTTTTCAACAGTGTTTTTACCGGTTTTGTGTTTTGGTTTATATTAAGTTCATTGTTGTTGTGCCTTTTTAAGATAACGTCAGAATATTATAATAAACAAATTACGTATATATATGTTGTAAATCAAAGGTTGCAATATGAGTCATGCTTTATTTTATGTTTAAGCTTTTCAGTGCAATATTTCTGCATTTATCTATCATGAGATATTAAACTTATTATCTTGCCATAAAAATTGTAAACAAATTGGAGGCTTATTCTCACATGTTTGGAATTATTGAGAACAATTTTCAGTTGGTGGCAAATTTTTATACGCTTATTCTCAGATGCTCGCAATTTTTATACAAATACTTGAACAATTATTAATTATAAATGTTTTATTTTCAGCAAATATTCAATCAATTTTTAGAGACCTGCCGTTCGATTTTTACATATTTTGGATATTTTTGGTTATTTTTTACAAATTCTCTGATATCTTTGGTTAATTTTTACATATAATCCTACAAGTGGTTTTAGTAAAAAACTTCAAATATAACGTCATATAAATGACCTAAGTTAAAAAAATGTGTTTAGAAGCTGCTAAATGGAGAGAGCACAGAGTTGCTTGTAATAGATAAGAAAAATAGTCAAAAAATCTTTATCATCTGTTATATGAAACAAAGTGGCAGCGCAGTCGTAGAAAACTCTGTTAAATGGCAAGACATAAAAGCAAGCTGTTGAACATGTTAACTGTTTCAGATAAGAGAATTAATTACGTTTCGTACAACGCATACTTTTAGGCTTATGAGTTAAGTGCTCGAACTTGCAACATATATAAAATTTCAAATACCTGGGAGTAATTCAAAAAAATTTCAAACATCTGAGAGTAAGCGTCTGAATTGGTTTACAATTGATAATAATTGAGTCTGTATTTGTGTGAAATAAAGAATAATTCAAAGAGTCAATCTATATTTGTTTGAAATTGAGAATAATTGCAAAGAATCAGTCTGAATTTGTTAACAGCTGTGTTTACATTGTTCTTTTTTATACCCACTATCGAAGTATGAAAGGTATATTCGTTTTGCCAAAAGCTTTGTAACGTCCAGCAGGAACCTTCACAGACGCCGCAAAATATATATATTCTCGATTAACATCAAATTCTAAATCGATTTAAGTTCATCCGTTTGTCCATCTGTACAATGTCTGTGGTAAACATTCTGCTGGCCGCAAAAATGAACCTGTCGACTTCAAGCTTGACAGAAACATTGAAAGTTCTTGCAGACAGGCTGGTATCGAAAATGGGCCAAACTGGTCGCAGGAGTGCCCAACAATATTATGTACACTGAGTACATCTCTGTTTTTCAAACGAAATAAAAAATTATTTTTTTGCTCATTGCTCATAAATTATAACTAATAGATTTACACAAATCCGAACGCTTATTTTATGTTCAACGTCTATACAAAACTTGACTATGCTTACCCAATGTTAAACTGTATCAAAATTTAATTTCTTTCAATAGCTTTACAACGCGCAGCAACAAACTTCAAAACCACCATAAAGTCTATAAATTTTTAGTCAATTTCAATTTTGAAATGCTTTTAAGCATGACCGCGCAGTCGTCTGTTCACTTGTCTGTCTGTCCAATCGTGTAGTGTCTGTGGTAAAAGTTCTCCTTTTCCCAAAAATGAAGGCATTGCCAACAAATTGCAAAAGAATTTAGAAGTGCCCTAAGCTTTTGAAAGGACACGCCTACTATGCCCACGTGTTCATACAACGAAAACTTTTAATTTCAAAATAGAAAAAATCAACGCCGCACACACCACACACACTATAGAGCATAAAAACATAATTCCCTTATATTTTTGGGATTACGGCGATGAGCATAAAAGATTCCGTTGCGGACAAATATGATTCTCAATGGGATTCTGCATATATAAACTATCATGAATCCTAATTTTTTTTATAAAAATTAGATAACATGCAAACAATATCATTATATTAACATGATGATGACGATCGCATGACGAAAGAATACATATTGGTAACTGGAAAAGTGAAAAGGAACGAAATGAGGAAAAATGGAAATATGAGAATGAAAACTTATGAAAAGTAATTCTACCCACTTTAAGGATGGTTACCTTTAATAACGGGAACGCGAGGAACAGCCAATGGTGCCCTGGTAATCCTAGAAGGTACGGGAGCCGGCATTTCTTCAAAATAGAAAATCGTATAATGAAATCCATTGGCGATTTTATTTTAGCTTACCATCGATTAGCCAAGTACCGGAAGCACCCCAAGCGGTACATATACCTATAAAGTTAACCGGAAACAAATCTTGTGCTTCATAAGACAAAAAGGCAACTGCTTCACCTTCACGACCCACTGATATTATATTATTTGACCACTGTATCCAGAAACCACGAAATTCATTGGCATCGACAATGCATGGAGTAATTGCGGCAGCAACATCAGGCTTTTGGCGATTCTTACGTATCACAGATTTGCTATTAGACCACCCTCCAATGAAAACCTCGTACATGGGGTTCTCCTCTACGGGATTAGTTGCTAAAGACAAATGAGCATCATTAGCGCACCGCACCTTAAAGGTAAATAAAGAACCAAAGACATGATGGAATTGATATTCCAACTTGTTGGGTGTGTTGATCTCTAAAAAGAAGAACGATAACTATAACAGAAGCGACGTTGCATCTCTATATTTCAATTGATGTAAATTTAATACAAAATTTTGATCAGAGGTATTTTATGCAAGAACAAGTAATAAAATTATATTCGGTCGTGATCGAATCTTTTATACCCATCAGCGATATCCTAAAAAAGACAAAAAGAAAATGTAAGAACTTAGTTTTCATGCTCCATAATATAGAGTGGGCGCGGTGACACACGTTTGGGCGTTGTAGACGTGTCGTTTGAAAAGTTTAGGACACGTCCAAATTCTTTTGCGCATTTATAGTCGATATCTTCATTTTTGTAAACAAGATAATGTGTACTACAAATGCTACAAATTCGGGCAGACGGACATGTTTACATGCATTCCAAATTTGACCAAGAATTTATATACCTTATGAGGTTTTCGAAGCTTGTTTTGAAGGTATTGAAGAAAAAATTAAATTTTAGTACACTATAATGTTGGGTAGGCGTGGTGCATTTTTCGTTTTTTGAACAGGTACTGCAGCATGCCCACAGAACATGCATTCTTATGAGTAACGGGCAAAAAGCCAATTTTTAATTCCTTTTCAAAAGCAGAGCTGTTGCCAGTTTACGTGTTGCTATGGGCGTATCCTTCCAACGATTTAGCCCGTTTTCAATACCAACTTGCGTGCAAGAACTTCCAATGTTTCTGCCAAATTTGAAGTCGTTTTTACGGCGAGGAGAATGCCTACAACAGGTATTACACAGACGGAAAGACGGTCATGCTTAAATCGTTTTAGAATTTAATACTGACCAAGTATGTATATACTTTGTGGGGTCTGTGCAGGTTCCTTCTGGGCGTTGGAGACGTTTTAACAAATATACTACTCATCCTTCGGTGATGGGTACATAAATATCGATTAGTTACGGCATATATATGAGAATTGAAATTTAGTTAAGCGGATACTTAACATGAATACAAAACATGTACACAAAATGTTTGGGTGGCTACAGTCGATAAGTAATCGAAGAACAGATCACATTGAAAGACTATCGTTCAAGGTCTTTCCTTATTATGCTACGCTCTGTCATTTTGTTTCTATATCCATAACCAAGGACTTTCACTGTATGAAGCGTAAGCAAAAACAACGACCTCCCGCGTAAAAAGTACGAGCAATTCTTAAATAAAAGAAGATAGGAAAGGAGCGCGGATAAAGAGCGCATCGTTGGAACAGCTCAAGGCCGTATCGAAAAGAGTGCTGGCGCAAGTGTATTATATCTGAGGGTAACTACTTTAAAGGAAACAAAGTAGATATTGACAAATTAATATTTTTCGAGAAAACTAAAAAGTCACTTCGTATAAGTTAATAAAATACCTACAAATAACTGATGTAGGACTTCTCCGACAAGTAATTTCGGCTACAAGAAAAAAGCAAGCGAGGACATTTCATGTGGGCAATGTGCTTGATCGACCACATCAAGTAAGTTTCTAACTAAAAATCCGTAGGTAATTTTCTTCTTCCGCGAGCTCGTGTTACTCTAGTGATTCGTGATTCTGTAAGACCCAGGAGACTGTTTTTGAGTAACAAGTTTTTCGATTTTATCGATAATCGAATATCAGGACCTTTTAAATGATTTGTAGCACTCATAAACTGAATTCTTCTTTTCATTTTTTTTTGATTTCTTCTACGACTTTTCAGTGATTTCATGCAGGATATTATTTCTGAAATAGACAATTAAAGGCTAATCCTTGGTTTGCATAATCGGAGAGCCCCCCGAGAATGTTCTCAATAAAAACCGCAACTTCAAAGTCAACAAAATTTCTCTAGTCAGTCTTACCGTTTAATTAAGAAAAAAAAGAAAATGAATTAAAGGGAGCTATTTAACGTGCATCATTAAAATAATGAACGTCTGTCTACTATTTAGTGAGGTAGATCTTTCCGATTATGTGGAGACATGGCAAGTCGTTCGAATATAAATACTAATCCCTCTTTGCTCACTGCTCTATCCATAATCCCCAGTTTAATCTTCTGTGCGTTTATTTGTGAAAAAGAAGAATATCGTATAAATTAAAGTTATTTGATGCAGATGTAGAAGAGGTATTATGTACTTCCAATACAAGCTAATGGCGGACATAAAAAAAGCAGAACACAATCTAATTGAGATTGAACTAATCCATTAAAATGAAATCAATTATTTTCAAAAAAGCTATAATTTTTGTAGCCATCGCCCAAGGATGAGGGAGAGAGCCCAGAAAGGGGGCTTCAGAGATCGTGCAAAGTATATACACTCTGGATCAGCATCAAATTCTGAATCGATTTTAGCCTGCCCGTGGCTATTCGTCTGTCTGCCGTAAACGTTCTACTGCTCGAAAAAACCGACTTCAATCGGCTTGGCAGAAACATTAGAAGTTCTTGGTTGGCAATGAAAATGGGCCAAATTGGCCAAAGAGCACGCCTTCAGTACCACGTAAACTGAGAACATCTCTGTTTTGCTTTCGGCTCGTTATTCGCAAACTGGAACAGGTGAACGCATACAAAATTTGAACGTATGTTCTGTGTGTGTGGCGATGCTATTGTACCTGTGCAAAAATTGACTGAGTAGGCGTAGACGATGTGCATTATTACAGAGCTTAGGAATGTTGCCTTTTACTGTCATCACCTTTTTAACAGCGAGAAACAAATATTCAAAAACCTTGTAAAGTATATATATATTGTCACAAATTTGAGATGCACTCAATCATGCTCGTCTGTCCACACTGCAAACTGCCGTATTTGCGAAAATGAAGATAACGCACACAAAAATGGAAAAAGGAATTTGAAAATTACTTAAGCGTTTCAAAGGACATCTCTAAAATGTCCAGATGTATGTGCGAACAAAATTGAGAACACTTTGCTTTCCGCGTCTTTTACTCCTTAATCATTATTAACTGGTAACACATACACCATATAAATTTCTCTTTTAATAGAGAAAAATCAGCCGCGCCCATCCATTATTATAGAGCATGAAAATTTAGTTCCTTCCTTTCTCTCTGTTCCCTTTCTCACCGATAAAGCTATTGCATAAGAGATTTGTCCACCAAACACGAAACTTTCTTCGTGACTTTTTATATAAAATCTTGGTTCTTATACAGAAAATCTTTCCCATTCATTCACTTTATATATGTATATAATTTGACTTTCTTTATTACTTGCTTTGATTTTTTATTTTGCTTTAACTTACCGAGTGGCATTTTTTGAATTTTTTCTACTACACATTAATTGTATTTTAAATTAGTGTCGTTTCACAACCGCTGCAGAGGGACATTTAAATTTTATTGAAACACACTTTATAGGCCCCATGATCTTTTAATTTCATCTCAGTACATTTACTCTCTTCGAACACAATTCGAATGCTTTAGCAGAGCAGAGATCTACTTCGATAAACTTTTAAAAAGTTCCCCATAAAGAGAATACAGATTCGAATGAGTTGGAACATTTTGTGGCTCGCAAGCACTTTAGCGAAAAGAGACATCGGTGCATATTAAAATGACAATAAAATGCGTATAATATGTTCGGGGATAAGATATTAAATTTTAATAACCAGAAGTTAGTTAGTACAGAAGATATGAGTAAACCTTGAAATACTCAGAGTGTTTTTTTATCCCCACCACCCAGGGGCGGAGGTATACTCATTTTCTCATAATGTTTGAAACACGCAAAAAAAATCCTCAGGGATCCTATTTATATTGTTCGTCAGTGCGAATTTCTAAATCGATTAAGACATGTCTCCTGGTCTGTTTGTCTGCGTTTGTCTGGTCCTGGTCGCAGATATAAAGATATTGACTTCCAGTTTGCTAGAAACATTTAAAGTTAAACATTTAACATTTTCACGGTTTTTTAATAACATTAAGCCGATAATTCTCTTTTTACTCGGTAGATATGTTTCAAAAGAATTCGTGTAAAAAAATCTATTGGTTAAATGGACAAAGCAGTAGATTGATTACAGAGCTAAAAAACCAACTGAAAAATACAATATTAAACAAATAAGAAAATTATATTGAGTCGTGAGCGAATCTTTCATATCCATAGCCGTGATCCTACGAAAAAAAAAAAAAAAAAAATATGTACACTCTATAATATTGGGCAAGCACAGGTGATTTTTTCTATTTTTACAATAAAAATAGAAGTTTATATTGTGCATGCGTTTGACTTTATGAGTGACAAGCAAAAAACGCGTAAAGCAGTGCTGGCAACTTTTGCTATATAGACGTGTGGGCGTTGTAGCTAAGATTGCGTCATTTTCAAATTCTTGTGAAAGTTTACCAACAATTTCTTCATTTTTGCGAACGGAAGAATATTTACCACAGATACTATACACTTGTGCATATAGACAGATGGGCAGATGAGTGAACCGGCAGGCTAAAGTACATTCCGAATTTGAAACAAGTTAAGAATTTGCAAATTTTATGGGGCCTTTCAACGTTGCGTCTTTGCGTTATAAAAAATTTGAAAAAAAATAAAATTATGATATGCTATAAAATTGAGCAAGCGTGGCCGACAATTCTTATTTTCCCAGAGGTACTACAGCATCGCCTATATAATATACGTTCAAATTTTTGCGCATTTATTTGCTATAGTTTATGAGTAATGAACAGAAACCCGATTTTTCATTCCATTTAAAAAACAATTTTACACAGTGCTGTGGGCGTGTCCTTGGATCGATTTGGCCCATTTTCAATATCAACCTGCCAGCGAGAACCACCAAATTTGAACTCGATAGCATTATTTGTGAGACTAGGAGAATGTGTGCAATAGGCATAATGGAGACAGACAGACACCCAGACGGACAAAAGGGCATACTTAAATCAATTCAGAATTTGATGCTGATCCAAACATATATACTTTGTGGGCTCTCAGAAACCTCCTTCACCCTTTGGTGAAGATTAAAAAATTCTTATTAGAGTTGACTTAAAAATTTTTTTGTGCTTACACATTTTAATTCATTAAATATATTATAAAACACAAACTGTATTTTGAAAAACCAAACAAAATTTCGTAAAAACTACCTTAGGTTTCTCTACGCAGACTTGGGGGAATCCCATTCACGTACGCATATAATCGACATAATCTAAGACGATTGTAAAAAGTGTAACGCGAAGTTACGGTGCATATTTGTGAGGAGTGAGATTAAGAAACGAAAACAGAAAAAAAAAAATTCATTAAAAAATTCATTAAAAAAATTCATAGAATGTTGAAAACCGTGTGAAACCAAGTGAGTTCGTGTAAAACGAGCTCGTGTCAAATTAAATCTCCTGTAAAAAGACAATTACGTATGTATGCTAATTTTACATTCCAACTTATGTTATGTACGTATTTTCGGTTTTTAACATTTGAATATGGCATTATTTTCACATAGAATTCGTCGCGAATACATTTAGCGAATATCTGGTAAGAGAACATGAAAATTTTTGCTCTTATTATTACAGTATTCCCTTAAATGAAAGACAACTAAGAATTCTTTGAAATTTTGTATATAAGAAACAATTAACCGAATGAATGATTTATCTTAAGCACTATCACTTAATGGGCGTAATAAATGTTTACGGGTAATAACGCTTACGTGCATACGGGAAATGATGTAATGACTGAAGTCCAGTGGTAAATAAAATTACAAAAATTTTGTCTATACCTAAACTGCAATATAGCAAGCTAATTTTTTATACAAGTTACCATTCATAGCAACGCAACGATTAGTCGAATTTTTATGCATTTGCTTCGTCCAAAATACGCTTAAATCATTGACCCTCTGAAATAGTAAATCTTGATTAAAGTTCTCTTAAACTCGTTACTCCAGGTTTTTTTACTAAATTTACCGTTATTTGCAACATCGTTGTAAAATGTTCTTCTAGGCTTTCTAGAAATGGAATGACATGGCAACCTAGTCTCGTGAGGGTCTGTAGTGTTTCTAATCTTTGTGCCAAATTACCCTTTTTTTTGCATTATTGGTGCAGCGTCTCATTCTCTCCAATGTTATCATTATTGTTAGAATTTATTTAAGCCAGAGGAATGTCGGCTCGATTTGCCTTTTAATAAGTAAACAATATATGAGATTCCCAGTTGTTACTAAATCTAACGAAATTTTCTCCATTACAAGTATTGGAAGGTAAGACTACGGATATATGTACGAATATATGGTAAGAATTAGGAGAAAATTTTTCAAAAGAGGGCAAAATCGAACGCCAAGTCTATAAAAATTGTATAAAACTATTCAGGAGACGTACAAGGGGAGATAAATGCTTATTTTTTATATATTTATACAAGAATTTTGTTTTCCATAAAGAAGAAAAGAAACGCTTTCACAATGAAGTCTAAATAAAAGTCGGGTATTAAACGGTAAACTGCAAAGCGTCGCTTGACGTCGCTTGAACTTAAAAGTAAGAAATTGAAAAGTGCAACAAGAAAACTATTGTTTTATCCGCTTAATGACAACAATAACAATCGTGGATAACTAAAACTTTCATATTTAATTTGGAGATCTAAAGTAAATATAGCAACAAATTACCTTAAGTATAACCACATCAACATGGATCATGCTAAAAAAGAAAAGGTTGATTGGCTTGGCAATGCCGATACTACTACTAAGGGGATTGGTCAAGTAATAATAGATGAAAAAAATAATATGATAAATGAGTCAGAATCACAAAGTGACTCTGACCCTGAATATCTTGATAACTCAATTGAATTACGTGGTTATCTTAATAAGTGGACAAATTATATCTATGGTTGGCGGCCGCGTTATATTGTACTAAAAGATGGCACGTTGTCCTATTATAAATCCGAGTCCGAATCAGACTTTGGCTGTCGTGGTGTTATAAGCTTACGTAAAGCCATAATTAAAACATATGAATCGGATGAACTTCGTTTTGATGTTGTTGTCAATAATTCCAATAATTGGTGTTTACGTGCCGATACACCGGAAGATCGTATGCACTGAATCGAGGTATTGCAAATGTATACAGAGGATAATGCCAGCACAACGGATACGACATCATTAAAACGTCATGGAAGTAACGTATCTTTGCAATCCACTACAATATCGGTAGCAAGTGGTGGCAGTTTGAAAAGGACTCAATACAATCTTAACGAAAAAATCGACGAAATTGAAACATTTAAGAAAATATTATTTGGACAAATAGAAACATTACAAAGATATTTTGATGTCTGCGCAGAAACCAATAAAGCACCGGGTAAATCTTTCGATTTCGGTTTTGATTTAACATCGACGGATTTTAAAGGGGAATCTATAACATTTCGGGCCACCACTACGGGGGTTCTTAATACATTACAGCATTGTTTAGAAATAATATCGGAAAGGGCTCTTACGTGGAAGAGGAAATTGGAACGCGAAATTGAAAAACGGAAAAAATTAGAAGAACAAATTAGAAAATATAAATTGGAAATTGAAAAATTCAAAAACATTTCTTATCCGGGGCCAGATTTTGAAGAAGGGCCACATTCCCCATTACCCGAGGATGAATTTTTCGATGCTGTAGAAACCGGTCTAGATAAAATCGAAGAAGACATGCAATTACGGGCAAAATTAAAACTGCAAACGCAACTTTCGCAGATATCCGTCCATAGTTATACAGCATTAGGTTTGAATCAGCCAGTGGATGACAATTTGGTAGATGATGATGATAAAGAGTTTGGTACGGGTTCTTTGGCAAGCGGTCATAGTCTTTGGCCTGAGATAGATCGAGTCTGCGAAGAACAGTTGCAGGGTATCAACCTATCAAATCCTTAGCAAGTGAAACGTATCGCTGGCATTGGTTAGCCCAGTTAAGCGTCGATGGCAAGCGATATCTTTCATTTATGTGCGACCTTTGGAGAGGCGCGTACAGCTCGGGTAAGAAAACAACTAAATTGACCGATAATTAGACAGTAAGCGGGTAGTTTGGAAAGATTTATTTTAATAGATTTTCTAATGAAGGAAAAAACTTTCTTACTTGTTTTTTACTTCATTAAAATTGAAATGTTTCGCCGACATCTCATTAAAAAAGCAATCGTTGAGTATAAATAAATTTAACGAAATATTTTTTTCCAATATAAGAAAAGAACCTTTTTTTTCAAAAAACTCCCACAGAAATTCAAAACATTTCTGCCATTTTTAATTTATTTACTTCGTTTTCTTTTATGTTATATTACATTTTATAGCTTTTTCAAGGTAATTTATTTATAATCAAGTGGATATAAATCAGCCTAAGACGACTATAATACTTTTGATGAAAAGAAAATGAGATGATCGTCTGTCTTCCATTGAATTTAATTGAATTTAATTTATATATAATTTCTACTGCACGAACAGAGGCATTCAGGTCTGCTTTACTTAGGTACGATCAAATAAACTTGTTTAAACGAACTCTCAACAAAGTATAAATAAATTAAAAAAAAAAACAAATAAGCAACTAAGAAGTCAAGCATATTTTGTTTTTTTCTTTAAATATTGTATAAGTAATAATGAAAGTCTCATGTAAATTGTTTTTATTGTAGGCCATCGATTTTAAGTTTTTATGAGTATAACATAGCGCAGCGCATATCTATTTTAAATGTATTTTTACAATTGTATGCGTTCCGATCCGGTTTTTTTTCTCTTCAACTATGCGTAGCGTTGCTTATTATAAACCAACAACCAATATTACGTTGGGACGAGCCCCCAAACATTATAAATTGTTATTGCATATGTGTGTACGTGCCAACAAGTTCTTGCTCTCCCCCTTTCTCGCTCAGTATCTTCTCATCTTTTACATATTTCGTGGTATATAACAGCGTGTGACGAAATGTGTGTACAATTCATTTAGATCCAAAAAAAAACAGGGATGCCGCTTTTTTACACGTAATAACAATTAAGTAGCTTAAGTAAAGAGAACTCATATACGTTTTGAAACAAATTTTTTAATACAACCTCTACTGACATCCACTGACACGTCGTTGTCTATGTTAAGCAAGATATGTTGTAAAATTTGACTGGACGATGGAGCGAACAGACATAGATAGAAGGCACGATATTTGAAATCATATGTTTGTGGTGTTGACTTCCTATGTAATAACGCAAATTGAAGTTCACACTTATTAATCTTATGTAATCTTTGCTGTATGCTGTGTAACTGAACTTGTCTGAACATTATTGGGAGATCGGATCACGTGCAAACTCTGGGACCACTCCATGTGCATTTCAAAAATAAGGAAATGTACGTTTTTCATTAACTTGTCATGCACATATCCGTGAGTTTTGTTAATTTTGGGACATGGCACAATAGCGAGAACAGTGATAAAAATTTGAGACTCCGCAGACAAAATCTTAAGTTCATAATTATGATTTTAATAATTACACAGATCGAAATCGATTTCTCTGTTCACGCTGATCGAATTTTTGTTTAGAGATCTTCGATACCTATTTCCATAAATCCCAGCACGTTCCTACACTGGCCGCGCTAATGTAAAATTCAAAAACGTTCAATAGCTGACTAATGTAGTGTATCAATTTAAAGTGTGTAAAGTGTATTACAGTTTTAGGTAAAAATTTTGAATTACTCATATTTGCTCCTATTTTGTATCAAAATGTATAAAATTTTTGTTTCATCTGCAAATGTTCGATTGGTGCACGACAACCATCGAAAAAACATTTTTTTTTAAGCAAGCGTAGGAATTTTTTGACTATTTTCTTGCATTGCGATTGTGTAAGCAACTCTTTCCTCTGGAGGACGATGTGCTTACCAGATAATAAAACAATATAAGTAGAAAAAGTGCTACATGTTGGAATAAGTAAAAACTTTTGCATTACCGTAACTAATTCATGAAGATTTATTTGTTATCAACAGGTGCTTGCATCTATTCTTTCCATCAACGTCGAAAATAGTGTTAATCAACCGTCAAATTCAATGATTTTGACCTTTCTCTATACAAAACAACAGTTTCCCGTTTAGTATTATTGACAATCATTTTTTGGCTGTTGTTTCAAGTTCAATTTCTGAGAATTTTATTGGAATAACTTTAAAGAATCATTATTAGGGCAAGTACTCTATTAAACTTATTCTTTCATCAAATATTCCCTTTTAAATATTCTTTAATTGTTTTTCAGTTTTTGAACTTGGTGGTTATGTTAGCGTAATATTAAGCGATATCAAGACAAGTATTTCTTAAGCTTTTTGTGCTATCAACTATTTTGTATCTTCTTAGATTCAGAATTTTGCGCTTATCCTCACTTCAATTTCGAGGTTTTTGGGCCGCGAGGAACGGGAAAAATTTCAGATCAAATTCATTTTGGGGTTATAATTAGAATTTAATCAAAAGTTCATACAGATAGGTCTAAATCAATGCCACTCTCTATAGCCATCAAAAATATGCTTATATCAACGCGCGGTAAGCATTAAGCAAACGTGATATGCAAGCTGTGGACGGTGTAAAATGTATATATAAAACTGTTAAATGCTATACCGCTTAATATTTTTGCTTTGTAAAACGCATTTTAATTATTCATAGTAAAGAGAATTCATGGAATTCTACACAAATATGTACATATCATTTAAATACTTGTTGAAAACGCATAAGAGCAGTTAAGAAACTATGCCTGTTTTGCTTATTTAATTCAATATATTTCAAGGTATGGCAACCCTAAATTTTATATCCAAATAAATTTTTCGGTAAGCACACGTGACAGCAACCACACATTAGATATAAGGCTCTCTTTCCTTTTAATAGCGGATATCTCTCACATATGCGTTAAATGAGAATGTGTGTGCAAATAGAAACGAAAGATGAATAAATATTGTTCTCTTCTTGCACTATACAATCTATTCATAGTTTTATTATCATTATCAAAACGAGACTTAATAATTTTACGAGATATTGTGCTTACGTAGGTACGTACGTGAACTTTGAAACAGTGTAATTAAAAAGAAAAATATATCATAATTTAATAATTTACACCTTTAAAGAGCGTTGTTGACCCAAAAGAAGGGTGTTTTTAATTTAACGTAGAGCATTCAACTATTATTCATACCTTTGCATGTATAGTGCGTTCATATGTGTATGTGACTTTTTGCTCGTATATGCCTTTATTTACAGGCAGAGCACAACAACGCTTGGCCATCATTACGTTTTAAGCAACAGACAGCAGCAGTGAATTGAAATTTGTTTATACATCGGATAGAAAATATACCATATTTGTCGAAATTGTGTGAGAATAAAAATTAAAAAAAAAAAAAGGAAAATAGCTTAAAACTATTTTTTATTACGTAGTGATATTGGTTTTATTCTTAAATTAAACAGACGAAAACTTGTTCAGTGTTATTTAATTAAAAATAAAAAAAATCCCAAAGTTCAACTGACAGTATTGGGATAATTTAACGTTTTCAATCTCAAGGAGAACGCAAAGATTCAGAAATGAATTCAAATATCGAGTAAGTTTTTGCTACTAAATTTAAATATCGCTGAGTGAAAAGATATCTGCAAGTTGCATAAGTTTTACTTCCCAATGCACTAAATGATAAATACGCTTTTTTTTTTTTTTTTTTTTGTATATTGAATGGAGATGGACTAAACCAATGGATTTGTGGCTTATATGTCCGATAAATACACATTAAGATAAATATATATACGAACTTTCAAGTTATGTAGTTTTCAAAAGAATCACAAAAGAATTTTCACTTTCATTGTTTTATTCTTCTTCTTATTTCTTATTGAATTAATAATAATAATAATAATAATAATAATACTATGACTTGAATTTCCTGTACTATAAAAATCTTGTAGAAGTAATTTTATAGTGAAAGATAACGTAGCAAAATTTATTCTATGACCCTGTCTTGAAAAAATAAAATTTGTTATTTCAAAAATACGCGCGCCTCGCTAATCAGAGTAACTTCTTTTTTTCTGGTTTTCTATGTTGATATAAAAGAAAAGTTTCACACTACTAGTAAAAATTGCCTTAGTTTTTCGAAGGGAGAAAAATAAAAATTGGATTTTTTCTAT